TTGCTCGTGTTGGGGGTCCACCAGACTCTTCCAAAGCGACCGCCCCCGCTTACATCGGCAGCAGGATAAATGAAGGAGAATGCGTCCTGCTCACGTCCTCGGCGGCGCTTCCTGGGGCGTCTTTATAGCCAGTGTGGTGGGTGCGAAGGGGCCTCTGCTGGTAGTTCGAGGTGCGTGTCCCGCGTGACGAATGTCTAACATCTTTTCATGACCTGTTTTCCATTTGTATATCTTTGGAGAAGTGTCCACTCACTTTCTTTACCCATTATTTAATCATATTATTTTTCTTTATATTGTTGTCTCTTATTTTTTATGGTTGTCATTTTTGAAATGTTTGAAATATAAGACTTAACAGGTGTGTGATAGGCAAACCCTGGTTACAACTACAGTTGAAGTAGAATTTCCTTTCTTCTAGGTGATATGGTTGGTTTTTTTTTTTTTTTCTCTCATTAAGTTTTGAGAACATAGTTTTTGCTTAAGCAATCTCTGATGTTTTAAAAAAATAATTTTTTTACTCTGTGTTTCACGAGCGTGGTGTCAACCCTTATTCCTCTAAAGTTATGAATTAGCCTTGGTTTTTTTTTTTTTCTCTGTTAAAGCTATCTCTGGATCTGTCCCCATCAATCCTTCAGGGACTGTTCCTTCTGGTGCCCTTTTCCTTGACTTCTGGGCACTGGGTCAGAGGCCCTGCTTACGCCCAAGTTTCTTCAGCATCCAGAACTCGTTTTGCACACTAGGTGTGCCAGGCACCCAGGCCCTGGCCTTTGCCCATGCCCACAGTCCACCTAATCCGCGGAAAGGGTCATGTCTGCCTCTGTCGGAAGAGAGGGGACTCCACCAGACTTCTTGCCCTTGTTCCTTCCAAGGCGAGAGCTCCTCACATCAAGCAGCCCTGGAATCTGAGTGTCCACAGCATCCTGATATTCTGGTTCCAGTTCTTGGAGCTGATGACACATAATCGTCTTTGAGCAAGCCAAACGTGTGTCCTCTGATTTGTGTGTTGTCCGAGTGAATATCTCACTTTTCAGTCTGTACAGTACTGGTCTGCTCAGATGTGTCTCAGTAGAAATAACCCAGTAAATTGGGTGCGTGTAAGTCCATGTCAGCTGTTGTCATCACCCTCTGTTGTGACTCAGGGGTCCTAGGAATGGAGTGCAGCTCCCCGCCTGTCACCCTTCATCCTCCCACACACATGGATGATGATGGAGCTTTGCTGCAATAGAGTGTGTGGTATGTTTCAGGCCTCTGTGGTCTTTGAGGATGTGGCTGTGTACTTCACCCCGGAAGAGTGGGCTTTGTTGGATCGAGGTCAGAGGAAGCTCTACAGAGATGTGATGCTGGAGACCTGCAGGAACCTGGCCGCAGTGGGTAAGGATGGCTCCATACCTTCACTAGTCTTTTAGGGAAGAGATGTTTCTTACAATTGTCCGATTTTGCTGGGGCCGAGGAATGGGAGTACGTTGGAGAAGAGACAGACACGGTCCAAGCCTTCATGGAGCCTACCTGGAGTCACATACCTTTTCCAGGAACACAAAGTTTTGTTGCTGTTAATCAAAGTCTGAGACTCTCTAATTTTATCAGTGTGAGGATGGTCTCCAGTGTTGCTCTGGGGCAGAGAGTGCTGCTCTGTGGAAGATACACTGGTTAATACACCTGTGTCATGGTAATCATCCTGCAGTTAAACTCACACTTCGTCATCTTCGGTGACTTTTGAAGACCAAATTAAACAGCCCGTCTTCCAGATTGCTTGTTGGCTCTTCAAATCCTCCCTCCTGCCAAGCTGTCCTCCAGGGGCAGGACCAGCAGCCACACACACCACCCACCCTCCCAATGGCAGCTGGGACAGTGCAGGCGGGCTTCACTGAGGGCCTCTGTGCCTTCGGAACAGTCCAGCAACCCTCGTTTGGACCAGGTTCTGGAGAAAAGAATGGCATTTGGAGATACCCATTAGAAACAAGACTCAGTCTTTGTTTGAGAAGGGTGATGGTTGTCATTTACCTGGCTTTCCTGTTGGACTTTTCATCCATCCTCATGCATGTGGTGAACCTCTTACACAGGTAGCGTGTGGATGTGTGTATCTTGCCCAGTTCCTTCTTTTCTTTAATTTTCTTTTTTCTTTTTTGTCCTTTTAATATGTATTTATTTTGAGAGAGAGAGCGTGAACATGAGTGTGGGGGGGCGGGGCAGAGAGACAGAGGGAGAGAGAATCCCCAGCAGGCTCCAGGTTCAACAAGGCGTCCAACCTGGGGCTCAATCTCAGGACCTCAAGATCATGACCTCAGCCGAAACGAAGAGTCGGACACTCAACCGACTGAGCCACCCAGGCGCCCCCTACTTTGCTTTTCTGATAATACCTATTTCCACGTTAGTCACCATCTATTTTGAAGTATTTCTAAGTGAATGGGCTTCCATTTTACACACTTTTCCCATTATTGCCAAAGCCCCAAATCACTAGGGTCCTGAGAATTTTCCTTTGGTCACCTGTCCATTCATTCTGATGAACTTCATTCACATTTGGGATCAGTATATAAATAGAAATCTGCATATGGTCTGTTTTCTTACCTTCACACATCAGATCATTCCCAAGAATTTAAATTATGCTCCCGATTCTTGCAGATTGTTGCACTCAAGTTAAAACTTGTGGATCAAGGACTCAGCTGAATATTTTGGAGAATGAACTATCCAGTGAAGAGAAAATAGTAAGATTTACAAGAAATGATCCCTGGGCTCTTTTTCGAGAAAACCCGGTGTTTCATAACATTGGTGATCAGTCCCAATCCCAGGAGAGGCGTTTGAGGTGAGTGCCTCTCCCCGTAGGAGAAAGGGGGATCTTCCCAGATTGATCGACTAACTTGGAATTAAAGAAAAAGTATAAACCTAGCCCCGTAATTGTGTAGTTGGAATTATACAATATAATATCTTCATAAATGTGATGTAGATATTGATCATCAGAAACATAATTGAGTTCAAAACGTTTATCGGGAGAACCCACATGTAAGAAATCCTGATGGCATTTCTGGGCCCTTCTCCTGAGCACGTAATTTCTTCCACTTTACAGCAGTATAGACGGTACCACCAACATGCCCATTCCTTGAAAATGGGTACTAGTAATCCGATAATCATTAACAAACATCAATAGGTCATTAATAAAGAGATCACTTACAAGCGTCATCCCCTAACCGTGTGCCTTCCTATTTTGAACAGAAGTCCTTTGGTGGAGAGTGTCTGTGAACGTATTGAAGGAGATCCATGTGGAGAAACCCTGAACCCGATTACAAGTCTTACTGTGCATGAGGGGTGTCCCACTGGAGGCAAATCCTGTGAATGTGCTAAGTGTAGAGAAGCCTTCGCAGATGGTTCCTTCCTTGAGAAACTGCGAAGATCTCACCCAGGACTCAAACCTAGTCCTGGTGAGGAGTGTGGCCCAGCCTGCAGCTCTGTTACGAGCCTCAGCACTCACGTGGACGCAGACCTTGTAGAGAAACCCTATGAAGGTCAGGACGCTGGGAGAGCATCTGACATATACGCGAAGAGTCTCAGTAGTAAAATATCTCTAGAGTGCAAGAAATGTGGAAAAGCTTTCACTTGCACGTCTTCCTTTCAGGGTCATGTGCGAGGTCCCTGTGGACAGAGTGTCCACGTGTGTGACGTGTGTGGGAAAACCTTCTTGTATCACTCCTACCTTACACGTCATGTGAGAACTCACACGGGGGAGAGACCCTATGAATGTATGGAGTGTGGGAAAACCTACAGTTGCCTCTCATATTTTCGAGAACACATGAGATCACACACTGGAGAGAAACGCTATGAATGTAAGGAGTGTGGCAAGACATTCAAGTACCCTGCATCCCTGCAGGGACACCTGATGACGCACACTGGAGAGAGACCTTATCTGTGTCAGCAGTGTGGGAAAGCCTTCAGTTGTCCCAAATACTTTCGAAGACACGTGAGAACGCACAGTGGGGTGAAGCCCTATGAATGTACGTTATGCGAGAAAGCCTATAGTTGTTCCTTATCCCTCCGGGAGCACGTGAGGACGCACAGCGAAGAGAGGCCCTATGAGTGTAAGGAGTGTGGGAAGGCTTTCAGACACCCCCGATACTTCCAGAGGCACGTGAGGATGCACAGTGGGGTGAAACCCTATGTGTGTAAGGAGTGTGGGAAAGCGTACAGTAGTTCCACGTCGCTTCAGGAACACGTGAGGTCGCACACGGGGGAGAGACCCTTTGAATGCCAGCAGTGTGGGAAAGCCTTCACGCGTCACTCCTCCCTCCAAGGTCACGTGAGAGCACACAGTTTGGAGAAACGTTACGAGTGTACGCAGTGCGGGAAGGCCTTCCGTTGGTCCTCGTCCTTGCAGAAGCACGTGAGAACGCACCGTGAAGAGAAGCCCTACGAGTGCCAGCAGTGCGGCAAAGCCTTCTGGTATCCCGCGAACCTGCGGGCGCACGTCAAGACCCACACGGAGGAGAGACCTTACGAATGTCCGCACTGTGGGAAAGCCTTCAGTTGTCACTCCTCCCTGCAAGTACATGCGAGAAAGCACAACGGAGTGAAACCCTACGAGTGTAAGGAGTGTGGGAAGGCCTTCTGGTATCCCGTGAACCTGCGTGCTCATGTGAGGACGCACACGGGAGAGAGACCTTACGAGTGCCAGCAGTGTGGGAAGGCCTACAGGTGTCCCGCAAACCTGCGGGTCCACGTGAGGACGCACACGGGGGAGAGACCCTATGAATGCCAGCAGTGCGGGAAGGCCTTCAGGTATCCCGCAAACCTGCGGGCGCACGTGAGGACACACACGGGGGAGAGACCCTACGAATGTCCGCACTGTGGGAAGGCCTTCAGGTACCCCACAAACCTGCGGGCGCACGTGAAGATGCACACTGGGGAGAAACCCTGAATACACAATCACGCTGTTTTCCCTCATATCTTATTGTAAGTCCAGTCAGACACACGGGCAAGAAATGTGATGTATGAGTGTAAAGAATGTTGGAGAACCTTCAGGCATAGCACCTCATTTATTTTGTACATAAAGCGTCAGGGCTGGATGGCAGTTTTTGTTATAAATTTGCTCGTGCCTCAGAAGTGCCTCGTCTGTAATAGGGATCTCTGTTGTGTTTATTTCCACTGCATGCTGCTGATATGAACACCCAAGATAAAACATTCCTGAACATCTCCAGTTTCTGTATGAAATATATTTTGCTATCTCAGACATGAAAAGACTGTACAGTTCTATAAAGTGTGTCTCATTTCCACGACGATGTCTTCTGGACCCAGGGCTGATCAGTGGTCTGTACGTGTATCTCGTCCTCTGGTGCAGAGACCAGAATTCCCCGACTCTGCCCTGCCCTCCTTGGGGTCTTTATTATTGAAAGTTGTGTCTCCACGTGTGCTGTTGCTGCCGTGTGCCCACCTGTGTTCCCCATGGACGTTAGTAAACGCGCAAGGATACTGGAGGAGGACAGTCTCCTCTGATCGTGTTCATGGTTTGACCTCCGCTCATCGCCCTTGATCTCGGTTGTTCATCAGTCATGACCCATTGAGTTACGAAGAGAAACTCTGTTGGGGGTGCCTGGGTGGCTCAGTGGGTTAAGCGCCCCACTCTTGATTTTGGCTCTCAGGTCATGAGCTTGCGGTTCGTGGGATTGAGCCTCGTGTCAGGCTCTGCGCTGATAGCGCTCTCTCTCTCTCTCTCTCAAAGTAAATACATACACTTAAAAAAAAAAAAAGAAGAGAAACCTTGTGGCTTGAAGTGGAAAGCTAGTGTCTGGCTGGTTCTGCTGGGTTTCGTCGTGAGCCTTGTGAGGCGGGAGGCCGTATGTCCCAGAGTCCTCCTCTGTGCGGCTCTGAGAGGAAGGCCCTGAGAAGAGAAGCTGTGTGGGGCTTGGAGAGCAGCAGTGAGGAACCGTGATTCTCCATCCTTCCGTGCCGCCAGGGGACAGACGCGTGGGGACCCAGGTGGGCCCGAGTCACGGCGTGTTGTCCTGGCTTCTGGTCTGCCGTCTGGAACAGCCCCCATGTAAGAAAAGTTTGCCATTAGTTCTTGTTAGCATGTTCCAGAGACTTCCACGAGCTGTCCCGTGACAGATCGTCTTGGCTTCCCGGTCCCCACGGATCCTTGTGTTGCCCTGTGACTCTTTGTGTCCGTGAGGCCGTCTCTTCAGGCTGTCGTGCTTAGCGAGCTCTCTTATCCTGTGACCCCTTCATCTCCATGCTTTTTCTTTACATGATTTCTGTGGTAAGCATCTTGTCCCTCTCAGGGTAGGTCTGTATCCTGCCTCCCTCCCCCCCTGACAGATCGAATGCTTTAGCCACAGATGCAGGAAACCTCTGTCCCTGGTTGCATTGTGGAGAGGCTGTGCTGACCCTGCATTTCTTCTTTCTGGATGTTTCCATGATTGGAATTGTCGCGACCGGCATGACAAACACCGAGGTCAGGGTCCTGAGGGTAGGGGAATGTAAGAAAAAAGAGAGAAGAGAAAGTTTGGGAACAGGAGGGTCCCGTGGGCTGATGGCCCAAGTGACGGCTTTATTGTTGCTGTACACAATCTTTTATAATACAAGACTCTTATGGATCAGGTCATTCTAAGAATAAACAGGTTTCACATGATCGCTGCCAGCCACAACATTTAGTTCTGTGTACCTTGTGAACTTTCTGAACGGGTCACAAGACCTTGTTGATAGATGGCTAGCAAAACACAGTTCCCATGTTTGTTTCTATCTGACTCGGGGTAGAAATAGGGAGGTAGCATTACTGCCAACACCTGCAGACCAC